TGTTATTTTTAAGAAATATAAAAAACTTATAATAAAATATTTAATTTTGTTTCTGAAAATGTGGTTCGTTATAAAACTTTATATAGTTTTTTTCATTACCTAGCAGATGCTCTATTGTATTTTTACAGTTCTCGAAATTGGGAAATTAGCTAACTTGTATTCATATTTATTATCATATAGTGAAGGCATGTAACAGATTTAATAATTTCGAATTATAATACCAGGTTTTATTATTATAGAAAGAAGATAATTTGCATTACCTTTTGACTTCATTGGACTACAAATTTTACCACGTTAGCAAATATCTCCATAATTTTAGTTTCAATTTTAATTTAAAAGCTTAGAATGGAATTAAGTCGATCAAGCTTATGATAATATGAATTCACTAGTTCTCATTTTTAAAGATGGCATAATATGATAATACAGAGCAAAATCTTTCAATATGATGACAAAAAATTATAGTTACATCTAACATTTGAAAATAATTTGGATTATTTTCTTTAATTATATACGAAAATTTAACCAACATTAGAAGCCAACAAAGTGTGAATAGTAATAAAATAAATTTTGATGATAGCGATACATCAGAAAAAGTAATTAATAATAATATATTATTCACAACAGTAAAAAATTGTTTAAGGATATAAAATGCAGCAATTTATAAATATCAAATCATTAGCTTTAATCATCTGTTAAAATACAGTCTGGAATGATATTTTTGACAGCAAACTACACACTTATTGCGAACTATACAGTTCTTCTTATGCCAGAAATCAATAAAAATATATTGTCTATATTATAACAATAAATAAATATTTAGTGAATTTAAATATAATTCTAAAGGTGATTCTGAAAATTTATTCAGAATGTTGATTTTCTTTTGAAAGCGTAGATTAGTTGTTACTTTTAGTTGTTAATATTTACTGATTTAATACATGAGACTTAGTATTAAATATAACTGGGAAAAAGTAGGTTTAAACTGGACAAATAAAAAGCTCTATAGTAAAATATTTAAAAATCTACTTGATGATTATATAATGATTACATATGACATATAGATCATTCAATCTTAATTAATTTTTTTTTAATCTATATCAATATTTTTTCAAACATCGATAAATGATTTAGTGATATTTATTATTAAGTTTAATATTTTTATTTATTACATAAGTCAAATATCTCAATTATTATTTTCTATTACAAAAGATTAAATGTGATCCTACGCCTTCGCAACCAAACAAATTCGTTAATCAAATCGTTAATTTCAGCTTAAACTTATACTAATACGACAGTAAATTTATTTATCTCGTCTAATAATTAAGCAAGTTTCATGTATAAATTAATATAATTCAATAATTAATATTACAATAAGATATAACAAATAAATTCTTTCTTTTTTGTATACTATTTAGGTTAAAGACACAGATATTTCCAAAACACGAATAATTAATGTTAAATTTTTATTTTTAATGTATATGTTACGTTTATAAAGATTTAAGTAAGAATATGTATACAATTTTAAAGGTGTACATAAAAAATTATAATCACAATATTCATATTGATAAAATGTAATAATAATGTGCAATAGTAACACAATAATTTGATGATAAATAGTTAAAAATAATTAGCACTACTATATAGTGTGTAAACTTGAATAATTACCAACGGTAGTGATATGTACTTATAGAATAATTTTGTATGATTATATTAGAAAAAATATATCGTTTAAAGAGACTCTTGACCAAAACCTATATTAAAATACTACTTCTACTCTACTGTTATAATAACCCAGCTTCTCGACTGTGGCATAAATCCCTATGATTATTGCGCTCTTCAAGATTTGATACAAATACATTATATAAAATACATTATAAAGAAGTAAGCTGCACGGAGTTACTTTTTATTGGGAATCAAATAATGCAATTTTGCTATTTTCATAGGAAAATATAAAAAGAAAAAATTATATAATAATGAGAATCGATACAAACAAAGATTAATACAGAAATTAATCGGGTCATAATATAAATGTCATTTAGTTGTAAATTTAAAAACTTCATATAGGTAGTTATTATAAAAAATATAATTTATTATTTAAATAAGTCCTTCACATGTGATAATAAAATATATATTCATATTAATATTATAAATTTATTAAAACATTTTAACAAATTTTTTACCTTATTAAAAACGTTTTTATACAAATATTATACTTACAGCAATTTAAAATTTGTTCAAAGTTTTTAAACATTGATATATTTTCAATAAATAAATTTAGTTTGTATACAAATTAATAATAATTTTATATTGTTCCCTATTTAAAATGTTGAATAATATATAAATTAAGCAAAATAATTTTATAATATATTTGTAAGGAGTAAACTGACAACTCAGCTTCAAATTTTACATATGGTCTACTAAATGTTACATTACTTTCTTATGTATATGAATTATTTTCGAATATTTTATTGAATATTATAAAATCTGCATTAAATTATTCATAATAAATGAACTATATTAAATTAAAGAATTATTTTATCATTTTTAAACTTCCACTGTATAAATATATATATATATATATATATATATATATAAAATCAACAATTTTTTCACAAACTAATGCTTATCTTAATTAAAGATATTACTTCATTAAAAATTCAAATAAAATTTTTTAAAAATATAAAGTACACCATTCTTTATTAATCAAATAATAAGTTACTAAATACTTGTTAAAAGCTTCGATACACATTGGATAATTTATAAGAAAGCTAATAATAAATCCAATATTAGCAAATTTATTAAGACTATATTGTAAATATTATATTAACAATGAAGAAGTTGTCTATAATGTAGGTCATTTGTAGTTTTGCTTTTAAAGGAAATAACATAAAAGGTTAAAATTATTATGAAACGCAATTTATTAAGATAAATATTTAATTAGAAGATAAATTTATGAAATATATTGGTATTCTATAAAAATTAAAAATTAAAACAGAATATATTTTCTTAATATAACACAATTGTTAATTGTTAATTATCATTAAAACAATTTTTATAAAATATTAAATATGTTTGAAAAGTGTATTTATAAAACTGTACAATTGATAATGTACTAAACCAGATATTAAAAGAAATTCTTAATACATATTCAAATGTATGTAGGTTTAACTTATTAATATTAATTACAATTAATTTATTAAAATACAAAAATAATGTTAATAAAAAATGAATGTATTGACATTTCTTATTTTTAAATTGCTATAGAGAAATGTTAATATATCACGGACGTTTATTTAAATAATCTTAATATTATACATATTAAAAATATGTTATTTTGCTACTGTCCGAGAACTTAATTCAAAATAAATATGAATAAATACAAATTCAGATAATATTGATACTTAAAAATAAATTTTTTGCTTAATTTATTTAAATTCATAAAATTTGCGAATGTGCAATTATTAAATAAAAAATTGAAATGGGATCGATTAAGCTTAATATTTATATCTCATTTTTTAAATCTATTGTTTACAGGTATAAATTAATTTTAATATTAATTATTAGTTTATCTTTAAAAATCTTCACTCGTTTTAATTCATTAATTTCTCATAAAAGTATTCATCAAATATGTTAGTAATAATTTATCGAATAATATATTATTTCACTGCTTTAAATCTCAAATAGAAAATTCTACTTTTTCACAGTTTTTGAACGTTTATCATTCAACAAAGCGTGATTATCAGTTGAATGTGTTACACTATTCGTATACTCATATGCATGTGATTACTATAAATGGTTTTGTAGGCGTCAGTGTGTTGCAGTACATAGACTGTAGATTTGTACTACGGAGTAACGCTTGCGCAGTGTATACATCGAAAGCTTATTCCTCAAAACGCTAGCGAATAGCAAACAGCTTACCGTAGCTTGACGCATCTGAGTAACACGAACTAGTACTTCGGCGTCTGTTCTCCGAGCAGCTTCATTTATAGTTACAATGTATATAATACTTTAATAAACCATCTAATATATCACTAATAAAAATTGTTCAGATATTATGAAATACCTGAGCTGTTCAACTAATTGATAGAACTTTCATAGGACAATAAATATTTTGTGTCAGTGAATTATCAGTGAAGTAAACAAATAAGCTAATAATTAGAAAGAAATAACTAATGTGTTAAAGAAACCGTTAGTAAATAAACCGTTCGTAAATTAGTGTTTGATTAAATAACTTATATTATATAAGTAATTTGTTTCTAGTTCTTTAATAGTCTGGAAAGGTAGATAAAAATCTATTTTTTGTAATATTTCGTGATCATGTTTAAGTATATTAATGATCACCATTTTACCCTATTAAATTCGCAAATATTAACTTCTGTATCTTAAAACTATTTCATACAATCTCATGGAAGGTATTACAGAATAAACTTTTGTATATAATCTTAAAATTCAAATTAAAACATCGTCTTTATTATTCAATACCACCTTTTTACTTATCTTAAAAACTTTTTCCGCAAAATAAAATACAAACATATAGAGAGAAGAGAGAGTTTCATGTATGAATGCATGTGTGTGTGTGTGTGCGTGCATGGGCGTGTTGTGTATATGTGAGAGAGAGAAAAAGAGTAAAAATGTGGAGAAGCGAATGCAAAAATATTGAGAAATAGAAGAAAAATGAATAGTAAATTTTAAAGTGTAGTGCTGGTAAGTTTTCTTTGGCCTCGATTGAGATCGGATGCCAACGAGTAATCCAAAAGGGCCTGGAGCGCGCCTAGCTTCAAGCCAAGTTGCAATTTGTTCCCCTCTGCAATTATATTCACAATATTATCAAGGTTTTTGGCAATCTTCAAAAAATCTTGGTAAAAAATTCCATGATTGTAGAGCATCTTACAGTGCCTGACCTTTATCAACGTTCAAGCCAATATTCCAAACAATCACAATACGGCAGCCTAAGGCTGTCCGTATTAACGTCCATGTTGCAGCCACCTTCTCCATTATTAGAGATGGCTTCACTAAGGCTACCAGATTCAGGCGATTTCGATCTCGATCGTAGACGTACTAATGGTCAATCGTCTGCTACTGAAATCCCCATTAGTTCCAGTGAATTGACTGTCTTAGAAGATTTCAGAAGCGTTATTGCTGCTAGAGCAGAAATATTTGCTGAATACATCAATGGCTCTATGCAAGATTTATTTGTATTAGCACATACTCGGCGACCATCATCATTTGGCGAAGAAATTATAAGTAATAATGAAGATTACCTCACGATTAATGGAATCTTTAATGAGACGAATAATGTAACGAACAATTTATCAGTAGAACAAGTGCGAGAAAGATGGTACAGGCATAGTGTAGCTATGTCTATTGTATATTTTGTGGCTTATTGTTTAGTTTTTGTTGTTGGTTTGATCGGAAACAGTTTTGTTATTGCTGTTGTTTATCGCTCTCCAAGGATGCGTACAGTGACAAATTTCTTCATTGTCAATCTTGCGGTAGCTGATGTACTAGTGATTGTCTTTTGTTTACCTGCCACTTTAATGAGCAATATTTTTGTCCGTAAGTAACTATAAGTATATCATTTTTTAGCATCTTTTAACATTTTGATACTAAATAAATATGTATTACATCAATTAATTTATCGTTTTTATCTTTAGACAAAAAAATATTTCGTTTATATACATATAGATTACAATTTTTTTTATTAACTGAAAAAATTTGTCGAATATATATGAAAAATTTTTAAATCATGTTTTTTATTTCATTATATTAACATTTGAATTAAATTAATTATTGATAGAATGTATTCTAACTTATAACTACGATTACTAAAGTAATGATTATGTCTACCTATTAACAGAATGATATATATTAAAAAAAAAGAACATAAAATTAACTTAATGCATTATCAACTTCTTTCTACATTTTGTAATAAATGCTTAAGAATTGAAATTAAATGGGGATTTTATTTTAACCAACTTTTTGATTACAAAAATTTGTAACTATTAAAATTTATAAGTACATTTTAGTTATGTGAAATAAAATTTATGAACAAAAATTTCAAATCCAAATTTGTATATACTTATTTAAGAAAGGTTTTCAACAAGTTTAAGAAATTTATTCAAATAATTTAATGGCAAGCATAAGCTGATTTTATTTTATTTATTTTTAAAAATTTATTTTGAAAACAAACACAAATAATTTCTTAATAATTTAATAATTAAATTAATAAATTGATTTTAGATATCTAATTTATTAAATCAAATACATTTAATATTTCTAAAAAATATAATCTATTGAAATTTTTAAAGTATAACATACTATATTTTCTATTTAATAAATTGAACTTAAATTGGAAATTGTTCAGTTACTATTATATTATATTACTAAACATACTACAATATACAGATTAAAATCTATTGTTATTGTAATCGTTAATATTTGAACAAATTAATAAAAATATCTTTAATACATTTTTTACAATTATATAAAACTTTCTATGCTTTTAAATCTCGTGGAATAGTTGCAGATTTTTAAAACAATCAATTTGTTATTTGAATGCTTTATTATCTTAAAAGTACAAGTAAAGTAATTGTGCAAGACCAATATTTCATAATGTACTAAATCAGACATTAAATCGCTTGATAACATAAATAATAGAATTTACCTAATAATGATGTTAATAAAAAGAACCATTATATAAAGCTGAATTATATTGAATCCAATTTGATAATATTTTTAATGTTAAATTAAATTATATCAAATATTTTAGATAAAAATATAAAACCAATATGATTTATAGTATCCCCTATCAGTGATTTTAAATTTAAAATAATTTTATGAGCCTCGAGCAATAACTAAAAAATTCAATGATTTATAAAAATTTATTTGCAATTTATGCTGTGTAGATGAATTGTATACATCAAATTTTTATGAATGCCATTGTACTGGTGTAGTAATAATTCCCAAATACACTACTCAAAACAATAATAAAACTTATAAAGGAACATTATCTCTTCTGTAAATAGAGAATAAAACAATATATATCAAATCGATGACGTGATAAAGTAATTATAATTTTTTTATTTCAGAAAATAGAGTATCAAATTCTTAAATTTTTTGTATAATAATTAGTGCAATACCATGAATGTTATAAATCTAATAAATATTAATATTAAATTTATTTGTGGAACTTATTCTGTAAAGTTAAGTAATGAAACAGGTTAAACGATATTTCATAAACAATGTACGAGTCATATCAAAATAACGAAGGTGACAAAATTACTTCAATAAAACAATTATATATTCTTGCTGGTTAATAAACTAAGTCCATAATACATTTTCCAATAAAATAAAAAATTAGTTTCTAAACTTTCAGTACTGTAAAATATATTTTAATTACTTCAATTATTATAGAAACTTACTAACATATTTTTTTGTATAACAATTACAAAAATAATTTGCATTGTTTAAATTAATAATATTAAAATTTAAGTATTATAATATGTTCAATAAATGTAATTAACTTTTTAATATTTTATTAAATTAAATCTTTAATTTATTTCATCATATTTAGTATTTCTTTAGAATTAATTAAAAAAATGATTATCATTTATCAATTAACTTAATTTAATTAGTTGATCGGAAAATATGCATAAATCTTTATTGTTATTTCCAGAAATGTCATTAAATTATTTAATTATAATAATGATAATGGGTTTGCTCGCATTATTCTGTCATTATAATTAAATAATTATTAAACATATTTAAAATATTGAATATATTATTCAATAATTGAGGTTGTGATGAAATGTAGTATATTATACTAATTACTACTTTTTTTTCTGTATTACACTCTCATGTGAGAGATAATGTAGTAGAATATCATTAATGGTATTCAATGATACCGTAATCTACAAAAAATATAAATAGTATTAAATTTAATCTTTATTAAAGAAAACTGTGCATTTCGAAGAACAAAAGTAGATTTTCATTCAAATCGAATCCTATATATAAGTATGTAGGCGTATATGGACATTTGTATATTTACAATTTTAGCGATCATTTCAATTACATTACTATTACATAAAAAATATATATTTAAATGTATTTAAAAATCTATCATTGAGTAGTATATTTGTTTACTGAAATTATGTAGTTCAATATAGTAGGCTGAATCCTGATACGAGCCAATTGATTGTGAAATATGCAAAACTTGCTATCAGTTTTGATACAAAAAACATCTTTTCGTACATACATATTATAACTCGTTTATATTCAGAATATACTTTGTTTTATTCTGAAGGTTCATTCAATTATAATTATTCATATATGCATTATGTAAAAAGTAAACATGCATATTTCTCTGGATACTTAATACTTATTTTTTATTGGAAATATTTAAATATAGCTAATATTTATTCCACTAAATTAATTTTTCTTATTATTAAAGCAATTATAAAAATTCAGGCATCATACAACTTACTTATTCAAATAAATTTTATTTAAGATTATTAAACAATATTTGTAAAAATTAAATTTTTTAAATTTTTTACTGATTAAAATGTCTTAATTATTAGTACAAGGTCTTGAAAATAATTTGAAGGATTTATTGTCTTTACTCTAGTTGAATGTAATATTGTCTATCATTGGCAAAATAATTTGTAATATAATTTAACATAAATGAAATTCTTAAAAACAATTTTTATAATAATGAATTATATCATTAAAAAATTAAATGTATAAAAATTAAAACGATATAAATTTAATACATTATTCTTATATCAAAATTCTTTTAGATATTCTTTTATATAAAATATTCCTAATTCACCTTAGATAAAGTCTTGCAAACTATAATTTTTGAAACAAAGTACTTTTAGCAAATATCTAAATATATTAAATTATTTACATAATAATAACATTCAATAACATACACTTAAAATAATCTTATGAAAAATTAAAAAATAGCTCCGATAATTTATATGAAAAATAAGAAATAATTTCTAATACTTTTACTATTTTTCATAACATTATATACTAGATATTTAAATAATATTCAGCAAACTGAATTGAAATAATTTATTTTGTTTAAATATAAATTGTAAAAATAATCAATGTAAATAATAAAAATAAAATATATTTTTATAAATTAATAATATTTCAATTATTTATTTTATTGATCATTTTCGATTATATTTAATTTTCAATCTATTCTATCGATTAATGAAAGTTAGCACATTAATTACAACACAAATTTAGCTGCTCACGAGATAACTAATATAAATTCATTTTTAAAAAAGATTAGTTTTAATGGCATTAGCTTGAAGTTATTATATCAAAATCAATGGTTCGTCATATTACCATATAAAATAAAATAAACTTGACACAGAAAATTTCTTAAATCAATTAAAAACTTTTCTATATATTTAACTATAAAGACGTTAAAGTATACTGAACATAACGATTACGCAATTTACCTTTGTTTTTATCAATTATCTACAAAAAGGTCTTATCACAATCAAGGACATTAGAATATCTAATTACGTATTTAAAAGTTTAATTTTATTTAATTAATAACCTCTTTTTTTATTAAAAAATATATTTCCATAAATTACTCATATATTACATAATTAATTAATTATATATAAATTATTATATATAAATGGTATAGATAATTTTTAATATATTTTAGCGATATTTAAAACTATTTTTGCATATCAATTGAGTCAGATATACATTCTTTATGGATCTTTAAAAATAAAAATTTTAAATACTTTTATTTCTAGTAAAATAAATAGAAGTAAATTAATGAAACAAGGTATGAAAGTGTTTAATAAATAATATTTAATCCGGTGATATGGTAAAATACATTACTTAATTTTAGATAATTATCAATGAAGGTATCCCACGTTTTTGTTTGATAGACCACTAATTAGTAACATTGAATTTCATATTTAATTTTTTTTTAAATATATAAATAAAAACATTTATAAATTTGAACCCTACGCAGTTAAAAAATAGTTTAGACTCTCTTATTCATAATATATATATAAAAAGTATATTCTTAAAATATAATTTATTATTTCAATAATACTCAACATTTTTCTTTAAATTATGAAATTTAATATTTATTATAAATTCATAGGCAAAACTAAAATAATAAAGATAAATAATACATGATGTACCTTGTCAACTTAAATTTTACTTTTAAAAGTATAAATATTTAAATTGCTTATATAAGTAATTTCAAAAATATTTCGTGTATTAATTATAATTAATTAATTTAATGATTAATAATGATTGATAATTATGTATTATTACATGGTACGAATCAGATAATACAATCAAATATCAATTTCTGTAAACATAAAAAAATGCTTTCAGTATTTTTAGGAAAATATCACTGTTTGAAAACTAATAAAGTGCTAATAAAAAGTTATAAATATACCTTAAAAAAATTTTTAATTTATATTTATAAATATAAACGCTTAATTATAGTAACATGTCTTTATTAATATTGAATATTCGGTGAAAAAAAAATGTAAATATACTTCAAGCAATTTGGAAT